GATAATAGGAATAAAAATTACATTCTTGAATACAATCACTCGTGTACTTTATGACATAAACAAACTCACTGCTATATCTGTTACTATAATATTGTCTCTACTGAGAGCTGAAATATTCATGAGATCCTTAAACTTTCCTATTTAAGAAATCTACATGTGAGTTGTCTTGGAAAAAACAAACAAACAGACAAAAAACACACTCTTAACCAACCATTAAGAAAAATGTAAAATGTAAATAGCTTGGCATCACATTTTCCATTCCACTGCTATAACAAATAGATTAATTGCTGGGTAATTTAATCAGATGCCTTGCTGATACTATTTGAGCACAGACTTGATACGTGTCCAGCACTTGAAAAATTGGTATGGGTTTTTCAGCTATGAGAAAGAAGTCTGTCCAGATGGCCCTAAAATGAAGGACAGCATTCAAAATGTTGTTCCCAGAGGATTGGCCAGCTGTGTCTAACATGGAAATGCTTCTGCAAATTTTTAAAAAAGCATTAGGTGTAATGGAGAATACTGGAGAGAGCATTTAAATGTAATCCATTCACAATCTAGAGTAATTGACTTGGTTGGCAGGAGTCAACTCAAATTAGATTTTAACGGGCACAACTGCTAGCACATCTATCTCACATAAACTACATCTAGAACTAAGACACTAACTTCTTTGGAAACTGTCCTTCAACTCAGTCTTTCCAGCTAACGTTATCTTTATTTGGTATTATTCCGAAATTTGCCACCTGCAATGAAAGGCCCTTCTGAGGAAGCCCAGCACTTACTTATTATACTACTGAGAAATATTTGAAGACATTTTAAATCCATTTAAAATAAATATAGCCAGGGCTCAACAACTGAGAGTAAGAACCCAAAGACCTACGATTGTAGAAAGGAAACATTTTTGTATGAACAATTTACAGATTTACATAAGAGCTGGAAAAATGAATCAACTTTCACATTAGAAGCAACATGTGTCTTTTTTTAAATCCCTGTGAAGTTTTTATGCTACACATTAGCATCTTCCTGGAGCTTACCCATACTCTTCATAGGGGAACTTTGTATTGGCATCTGACAAACTGTGTTCAGTCCAAGACTATGTTTTAGGTATGTCAAAGGCTGAAAGTGCACTGAGAGGGGAAGCTTCCTACCACAGCTAAGAAACAAATTTAACATGGACTCAAAAAAGACACGTTAGGTCTTCAACATTGATCTAGAGTAAAAAAAAAAAAAAAAAAAAAAAAATTTACACTACATATTCTGAAATGGTATTAAAAAAAAACACAAAAAAAAATAATTTTGAGGATTTTCATTAAGACAGATGAAACCCCCAAGAGGTAGAAAAATGTGAATTTATCTATACTTAAAAATACGAAAAACATTTTTACATGTGATAATATTATTACATATTATAAAAAAGGTGCTCTTACTGTTATTTCTTTCAACAGAGGTCTAATTCTAGCACAGAAGACATAGGAAGGTTTTCTTTAGTTTAAATCTTTAGATTTAGATAATTAGATTCTGGAGAAGATTGAAAGGGGATCTTATCAAAACGTACAAATAGCTGAGGGGAGAATGGAAAGAGGATGGGGCTCTTGGTGGTGACCAGTGAAAGGGCAAGGGATAATGGGTACACAAGAAACACAGGAAGTTCCGCCTCCATGAGAGGAAGAACCTCTTTCCTGTGAGGGTGACAGAGCCCTGGAACAGGCTGCCCAGAGAGGTTGTGGAATCTCCTTCTTTGGAGATCTTCAAAACTTGCCTGGATGCCACCCTGTGCTCTAGCTGTGCCTTGGCTGGACTAGATGATCTCTAGACGTCCCTTCCAACCTCAACCATTCTGTGATTCTGTGATTTCTTTCTTTTACCCAGTGAAGCCTATATCAAGTAAATTGAGATTGATTTTTAAATATTTATTGAATTTGATTTATAGAGACAAATTAAAGATAAAGATATCAAGAGCTGCTTCTAAGTAGGAGCAAATTAAAACACACACCACCAAGAAACAATTTTTATGGTAGGAGTAAGTAAATCAGATGAAATCAGATAAAAAAAAACTTTTTAAAAATGCTTTATTTCAACTAGATTTAGTGGAAAGTTTTTTTTTTTTTTTTAAAAAAAAGCATAAGGCCAAAGTCAGATGGTAGCAGCAACTATTAGCATAGAGTGCTAATGTAGGAAATCAGTGGGGAAAAATAAGGGATTACAACAGCGAAGGTGGCTGTTAATGATATTGTTAGGTAGGTGTTCCTGAACAGGAGATTTAGGAATGCTTAAGGAGGAGTAATATCTGTCTGTATATAGAAGAATGACAGGGTAATTAAATCATATAGAGGGAAGGAAAAAAAATGGGGAGGAAGAACTAACTAGATATGCTTTCAGATCCTGGAAATTTTTGAGAAAGTTCCTAGGTGGAATAGAAAGTGCCAAAAAAAAATTACAAGTTAAAGCTTAATTATTTCATTTGTCTTCTTTGGAATATTAGGTAAAATAATCATTCTGCTTCTCCTTTTCCTTCTCAACATGATTCAGGAGCTCTCTGCAAGGTATATTTTAGAATATCTGGAAATTGTCTTCAAATAGATTGAAAAGAGGAACTACATCGGATTTCTTAATCCTGTAATGATGACCTTATTTATCACGTGTGCAAGAGCCTGGGGCTTAGGAGGGTTGTTCTGGAGTGGCAGGTAAAGAAAACCACAGTCAGGTGCAGCTGTGTCTGGAGGGAAATTTCGAACTTAGAGTAGGCAAGAAAATAACAGGAAATAATAGGAATACTAGGATTCTCTTTGGCTTCTCCCAGCATTTATCAAAAATCTTCCAAAGAAAGAATAGAAAAAAAATCAATACATGCTTAGTTAAAATAATAATAATAATTTTTTTAAAGCCTATACCCATGCCAAGCTGCTTTAACCACCTCCTGTTTATGAGTTTTAAGGCAGTATTCCCTACAGTGGCTTTGCTTCCAGAAGCCAAGAAAATGGATTAGGCAGGCAGAGCAAATTCTGAGAATTGCATGATTTTAATTTGTTCCTTTGGTAAAATTAGTATTTTCTCCTAATAAAATGCTCTAAAGAATTAAATCAACCAATCAGGTAAAAGTTAAGGGTATTTTCTTTCTGCCTTAAATGAAAATTTCAGGGCAATTTCAGTTATAGCATTTATGCAGAAAGTCTCAGTAATATTTCTAACCAGGGCACATACTAAAAAATCCCAAATGAACACCACTGATATAAATTTATATAAAGAACTATCATGACAATATAAAGAATGCAAACCTGCTGCTGGCATGAAAAATCTTTCCTTTTTAAAATTAAAATTATTTCCAACAAATAATCATTATGAATGTGACCCTCAAATATTCTTTTATCATTATTTTCCTTTGGAGAGTTTAAAAGAGGAGCCTCATGCAGCCTTGATTTCTGAATGATTGGTTTATGAATATTTGGATGTCATCAGAATTAATCTGAAGATACTTCAAAGTGCGTCATATAGTTTATTTCATTCCACTGTTTTTCCTATTGTGATCCGAAAGAGGTATTTTTGCACAGTCATTATACAGAAATTAATATCTCTGCTATTTTTATGAATATGGTACATATATTTGAGCATTTGTTTATGTTGGCTTACTTCCTAAGAAGTTAGATGAAAAGATATCTGATATAAAACAAATAGAGGAAAAACAATGATAAAGTCACTGAAGACAAAGGTGAGACTAGTCTTTGCAGATGCCTGATTTTCCCCTTTTAAAGTCTGCCTGAGAAGACACATCCTCACTCTAGAGGACCTGAGAAATGGGAGACCCAGATTTAATCGGCTACCTTTATGCACTTAAATTAAGGTTGCTAGTTAGGAGACTCATATTAGAGGACACATCTTCAAAAAGCAGTTTCACCCACCCAAGGGGAATAAAGAATGCCCGAAGTCCTACTAAAGCACTTCAGCTAGTGGGTCAGCAGGGCACTCTATCTGCAAAATCTGAGGAGCTGGCAGGTTGGCGAAGAGCTAGAGGCGATTGACTTCTCATGTTTCCAGAAATGGAGGCAAGCACCTTCTGAAAGTTATGCAATCTTGTAAAGGCAGCTATGATCCCACAGAGAAATGCAGATTCATTTTTGTCATCCACTTTTTAAGGCCTCTAGCTGAAAGTCTTTGTTTCTGGTTAAAAACACATTAGAATGAAAGACCTTATTAAAATCAACATGAATCATGTCTGCCATGGCAATGTACCTACAAAACAAGGGCCTGCAGTTCTACCCAATGTGAAGGACAAAAAGCCAAAACTGCCCTGAAGAGGGACAAAAGTTCTCTGTGACACAGACTGCCTGACAACCATCACAGGCAATAACTCTGAAACATTACTTAGAACTTGTTTACATTGTCAATTGTATGTGCACTTCAGAGCATTAAATTTTGAGGAGGTACGAATTAGTGTAGCTTTTCTGCTTGCAAGTAGGCTGTGTCATTCTGCAGAGTGGACTGTCTGTGTCACAAACCCCTTCTAATACTGAAGGTAAATGTTTCAGCTCCAAGTTGCAGCAATTTCCCTCACCACTTCTGGACCTGCTTTCTTAAAGGTCATTTGAGCTCACCTTCTGAATAAACACCCCCATTCACAGATGCCAAATTAGACTTATGAGTAGGAGCTAAAGGACAAGGGGGCTCATTCAGGCCAGGAACAGGTAACAGAAGAATATTTTATAATATGACAAAGTGTTGAATTCTCACAATGCATTTCTCAGATTGAGTGCACAAATACTTCATTTAGATTCAAATCTGCCTCTTTCAACAACCAGTGCAAACTACAAAGCATTTTAGTAATGTCATATATCAATTTAGTTTGCTAAGATATCCTAATTGGTTCTCTTTTAGCTTTAGTGGGAAGAGAAAATGAAAGATGTGCTTGCAAACTGTAACCATTTAAGTCACATTGGCACTATTAAAATGGCTCAACATTTCTTTTTACTGAAGGCAGCTGTGAAAGGTTTGATGTTGGCATATAATACCTGTTCTTAATGTGCTGGGGAGAACCAAGACACCTGAAACTTCCATTGACCATAATCGCAAGCCGTGTGCAGAGGGCTTCACATTCTTCCATACTACAAAGTTGGGGGGGGGAGAAAAAAAAAAGATTAAAAGAACAATAGTGAAAGCAAAACAGTATTTATACTTCACTTTTTAATTAAAAAGAAACTGGATCACTGCAAAAATTGCTACAAAAAACATCCAGCTATTAAGACAGCAGTTCAAATTATAGTCCTAGTCAGCACATACCAAATTTATTGCAACATGACAGCTAGAACAAAGTCATAAAAATGAATTTATGTTCATAGTCAAGAACTAATTGGACAATTCTGGCCACAATACAAAAGTTTTATTAGTGAAGTCAAATACCTGATAGGCAGCCTCAGCAATGCCACTGAGAATGACGGCAGTGAAAACTGTTCCCCTTACTTCCTACTTATGATCATTTTGAGCTAAGAGATGCATTGCTCAGCTGCCTTTTGTATGGTACATATTCTTATAAAGAAAAGTTAGCCTCAGTCTGAGTGCTGGGCAGAACAGATGCAAAAAATATAAAAAAATGATAAACCAAACAGAATTTAAGACAAACTGCTGCTGAAGAACAGAATCCTGTTGTAAGTGATTGCTTGAAATGATAACAAGTAATCTTGACTTGTAAAGCTTATGGCAAATTGGGCTGCCCTTTTACACATCACACAGAATTATATGAGCAGTTTTTCCAAAGCATCGGTTTAAACACAGGATTTAGGATTTCAGTGAGGATGTATTTCACCATACGAAAGAGAGGTCAAAGATTTCCTTGCAGTTCACTGTGTGGAGTCCCCAGGCCCTCTGGGATGGACTGAGTCCTAGACCAACCCCAATTCTAGCACTTTTACCTGGGAGAGCATGTGAATTACAGCTAAGTATCCCCTTAGGCTCACTTGTTAAATGGGACAGGGAGAGACAGGGTGAGAACTGCTAAAGCAAAAGCCATTATATGTTTGAGAGGAATGGAGAGGAGGCTACTAGCGTATTTTCCCAGAAAACAGGAGATGAGATCTAGCTGCAAGTCTCTCTGCAGTGCAGTACCTTCGAAAACACTCACCAGCTGTGGCAAAATAACATAAACAAGCTTGTATGTGCAATTAATACAACCTCGCACATCTCCCTAAAACAAAGCTAACAAAGCAGTTATATGTTCTCTCGGAAAATGAAGCCAACAGACCTCAAACACTTCTTTTTACATGTGAAAGCATCTCTATACCTTGTTCATTTATTTGTGGATGTGCATTACTTCAGTGTGTAAGTAACCTCACCCCAGATACCAGTACAGGCTGGGGACTGACCTTCTGGAGAGCAGCTCTGCAGAGAAAGACCTGGCCGTCATGGTGGATGACAAGTTTACCATGAGGCAGCAGTGTGCTCTTGTGGACAAGAAGGCCAATTACCATTGGAGTGGGATTCCCATATTGGGGTGCATTAAGAAGAG